GCGCGCGCGCGCATGTGTGTGTGTGTGTGTGTGTGCGTGTGCGCGCGTTTGTATGTATTCTTGAAAACATTTCTGCGTGTACGTATATGAATATACATATTTCTGCTTTTTGTTTAGCTCATTATCCCAGCCATTCCAAACGAATCATTCATTTCCTGTGCACAAGCTTACTATTCATTTTTGGTGCATAAATCTAATACGTATGCACACATGTGATAGTCTTACCATTCAATTGAGCCACTTCGGTAGTATCGTTGTCATTGTCGTCAGGTTGGACGACTAAGTTACTACTTTCAATCTCTATCAATGTTTCCTTTTCCAGTTCTGTGGAATTCCCACCTGAGTACAGCAACCACAGCGGTATCGACAGCAGAAATAAGCCCAGAACCAACGTCCTCATGGGAATGAATGCTTTCGAAGTAGACATCATCGTGTAACGTAGGATCTTTCTAACTACTCTGGGATATATTTATATATATATTTATATATATATTTATATATATATTTATATATATATGGCAAACAATGTTTTTTTTTCTCAGATCAGCGTCATACAATACACACTATATTAAGGCCACACTAGAGAGGTGGTAGAGTGCTCAGAAAGTACCAACCGATGTACCAGCCGTCACCATACAGACTTTGAAGTGTTTGTGTTCGTTCTGTTATCCGCGTGTCAATAACGATACGATGCCATTATTGCCAACACACCCACAGACAGGCACTATGAGCCTTGAGGTGTGAACAGTGAACAGTGAAGACTGAAGACTGTGAACACACAACACACTCCAGGCATATCATCGGCCAATGGCATCTTCGCAACCGACTCTATCCCTGTGGCTACAATCGAATCGTTATGGATGGCCTATGATTCCTATTTATTAGTTTATTTCTATAAATATATTTTTACTCTTCAAAGACTTCATAAAATTAAAATAATTAAAATAATAAATCACGACCCTCTACATAGCCTACTAAATGAAACTCTCTGACTCTCTCTACTCTAATAGTAGCAGTCTCTCCTACTACTACTAGTAGTAGGTTGTGGTCACTGGAGAGTATGTAGTGGACTGTCGAGATGAAATAAAATGTCCGAAACGGTTTTGCTCTTGGGATGGGTCATTGTCGGGACTTGTGACTTTGGCCCTTGGGTCAAGTAGTAGTGTTCAAAACCAATAGAATACTGGAACAATTTTTGTTTTGAAAAAAAAACAGTAACTTTTAACGTTATGTATTTCGATTAGCAGTTTGTATACGGTTAAGCTCAATACGTTTTACCTATACGCGATAAACTTTAAACGTAACCACAAAAGTTTTGGCTTGCGTTTTTTAAAAGTATATCGGGGGCAAATCGACGATGAAAATTCTCCAAATTGCACCTGAGAAATTGACCTTTTTTAATGAAAAGGCGATTTGAAACTATTCACAACTGACACAAAGTGAAAAATAGGACAATTCGTGACAGTTAGGCCGCCACAGAAAATGTACCTATTTGTAAACCCATAGGACTATATTTAGGATAAACTTTGAATGTAAACGCTTTTTTGCGTTTTAATGGGAAACGTAATGAGGTTAAGTATACGGTCCTTTACATACTGAAAATATGCAATGTCGAACGTAAACTAGGCGCCTTGGAGAATTGGTTGTATCTATGTATGTACTACTACTAATCTACTAAATATGTGTAAGGGCATAAACGTTTAGATTTGAAAACGCCAAAAAAATAAAATCTAAATATATATATATGGAAATATTTACTATTTAGCGGTTGTTTGTTTGTCTTAGCTTTTTTGAAAAAGCAAAAAGGAAACAAAAAAAACAACCCGAGTGTATCGTCTATCGAGCTACAAACTGAGCAAGAGATCTAAATACAAATTTTATGGAACTGGAGAGAATTCGAGACTCACCTCAATCCGTTAAACGATACTTGTCAAGCGACTCGAAAATTCGGACCTGATATTTAATTTAATAGGACACTTTAGGTGACCAAATACCAACCTTTGGATTTTAGGGCTCCGAAAATGTACCCATAGTGACAACCATTGGGGCATGCCGATAAAAACGTTAAACGTATCTGTTTATTTAGTATATTTACGTACATAGTTCTGAAGTGAAATTTATATCAACAAATATCACGTGAAGATAACTTATCGTGAGTTGGGTTTGATACATGTAGGGTTTCTCTTCTTCACACCCAAGGCAGTCTGAGCTTCGTTCCAACTTGAGGATTTGTGTTAAAGTATGTTTGCATGTGTACATGGATCCACCATACATACTACACGTATTGTAAAGAAGTGTTAATAACTTGTGAGCATTCTAATAATAAAGACTCGCCACAGCGCAGTAGAATATCTAAAGTTTCAACTACAGAACCCGCAGGGTGTTTACACATTGCGCGATTCATTCATCATGAGTCTAGGCTTGATTCTGGGTTCGTTTGTACGGTGGTGTCTGTCTTGGATGGACACCTTCCGTACATTGAAACCATTCGCCAGTCGTGACTTTGAGTATGCTGAGCTACCCAGGCTGAATCGCCTGAACATCCACAAGGAACGAATACTTGTCACTGGTGGTATGTAACGTTTGTTATTAAACTTAAACAATTCTGGCTATGGTTGTAACTGGCGTAGTGGTGTATAGTGAGTGTCAAGGAGTGATGTGCGCGACAGACACGCACTTGTGTGAAAAATGATGCAACCAGGGTACTTGTTCATATATAGATACTTCCGCGCACGACTGAGTGTGACTTGGCATGTAATGCAATACTTCAGATATACGAAAATGCCAGGGTCATATATATATATATATATATATATATATATATATGTGTGTGTGTGTGTGTGTGTGTGTGTGTGTGTGTGTGTGTGTGTGTGTGTAGTATATATATATATATATATATATATATATATATATATATATATATATATATATATATATATATATATATATATATATATATATATATATATATATATATATATATATATATATATATATATATATATATATATATATATATATATATATATATATA